GCCTTTTTGAGAGAACTCTACTATTCATCGGAAAAACTATTTCCTGGCTGTTTACTTTTTTATTCATTTTCTTGAACGGAAAGGATTTAAGTAAACATGAATCTGCCGTTAATGTCTCTGGAAGTTCACAGACTATGTAAACATTTGAAATTGCAAAATTATGAAATAAACGACATGCGCTCTGGTTAGAGTAATTGTCAATTCGCGACATTCGGTAATTATAATTTTCCAAATTTATATTAATTTGAACGTCGACCAAAAATGAATAGCTTTTTGACCATAAGATAGAAACTTTGTTCAAAATCTTAAAGAAAAAGGTGATCGAATACCAGATGCCGGAAATTTATCAATTTAGCTTAATTTTGATCGGCGGTTTATTATTACTTTTGTACCCGGCCACTGTTCGGGAAGGCTTTATCTGATATCCATTTGCCGCCCTTTGGGGAAATATTATCCCTTAACGGCTTAATTTCGACCAATCTGTCTTTAGTCAGATTTCTTTTCTTATCTGGCTTCGGCCCGCTAAGTTTTTTGCGGGAGATTTCACCTTCGTGAAAACACCAGTAACACACTCGAGTGACACGTGCGAGAAAAGTCGACCACTCAGTTCATACGCCTAATCTTTTGGCAAAAAATTTCCCATTAGAATTAGTGGAACTTTTCCAAACCATTCATACAATTTTTCAAATTGAGTAGATTTTAACTATTTCCATGAGCTTCTCCTCGGGTTGAAGGTTATTTAAACTATTGGAAAATGTTCGAAGCGGTTTTGGGTAAAAAAAATTACATCTTTTCTTCACCAACTTTCAAAATTTCACATAATTTGACATGTTAGTTGTATTACAGGTATAAGATATCATCTGGAAGTGGTTATGACCGACTAATTTTCCACTTTGTAATTTTCTTTTAATATAAGGTATAAAGCGGAGCGACAATTTTGAACTCATTTGGGTTTGTAATTCAGCACTGCTATTATCAGTTGACAAGTCTGAAGAAAAGGGAATTTTTGGACAATTTTTATGTGCGAAAATAACACGGGACAGCATTAACGTTTTGCTTAGTTAACCACCTAGCTCTGAACCTTCTAGATTAGCATTTTGGCAGTTTCGAACAACTAAAACGTATCGACAATTATGTCTCGCTTGCCAAGTATTCCAAATCAATTGACAGAAGACATTATCATAATTTATGCAGCTGCATTCATCTCCAGTTACAAGGCTTAAAAGCTGGAACGGAAATTAAAAAGACGAAAGACAAAACTCTTGTTTTGACAGGCAAGGACCCGCAGTTGAAATAGCTTTGGCAGATATGGGTTGAGTCTGTCATGTTTTGATGATGAAATGTGAATTATTTGAAAGTTGCTGAAGATTGTCCATTGAAATCAACTTTTGTTGAGAATCAAGTCTTCATTTACTTTCATTAATACTGAACTTTCTTCGTTAAGACGATAATGGTTTTGATGATTTGGTTCTTCAGAAAAGGCAGGACTGTTTCATGCGTCATATTTTGTCTCTTTATCATTATTATTAACTGAATTTCACTGCCGATCTCAACTTTAGCTTTATCATCACAATAAGTAACGGTTACCCCTAAAACTAAAAAAATTCAGATATGTCCTTTCCTTGTGCTAATAAATCATAAAATCACTGAACAAAGTGTGCAAGTTCAAACGAAGAATGATTTTTAAACTGAAAAAGAATTGTCTTTTTTTTGGGAAATTGACACAAACACAAGTTGAATAATTGATAAGTTCACACTAAACCACACACAGTTTAATTTGTTTTCGTATCGTACTGAGGTATTGCAATTTTCTGCTGGCATCTGGGAATCAATTCAAAAACTGAGGTGAAAAAAACAATTCACCGTCGACAAACCTGTCCTCGCTGGCTTGGAAGTGAAAACATTGTTGTGACGAACGCGAAAGTGGAGCTGAACCAGATAACACAGGTTCGACCTCTGGTAATTTTTATGCAAAGTGACATAGCAGGTAAGTTTTTCTCAGTTGCTTTTATTTATCATTCTATGGTCCATAGATTAAAATTTCCCAGCAGGATAAGAGAAGTTGCAATACCCCCAAAAATTGTAAAGTTGAGAAAACGTCTGCTGATAAAGTGCAGCATTATTCCAAGTTGTTTTACAAATTTAGGTACCTAGTACAAAATTATTTGTAAAAATTGACATAGGCGGAGTCTTTGAAGGTTAGAACCAGTCTTATTTCGATAATTTTATTCTTACTTTACCATTATTGTTATACATACTTTAAAGGTGAAATCGGCATGAAGGAAAATTTTTAAAAATTAAGAAAATTTACTCGGCATCGATTGTAAGTTGAATTAATTCACCTTTCGGTGATACGTCGAGGACGGATAAGCTCTTCATGTAGCAATAATGCTCGTTTCTCTATTCCCATCAGTATCTTATTTCCACGTATATTGTGGAGATTTTTCAGCTTTGAAAACTGCCATAGCGGTCGATCAGTTAGACTGTATAGTCTTCTAAGATTAAAACCAACTTGCTTCAAACAGTCGTGCTATAATTATTTACTTACACAGGTGAATAATTAGAGACCAGAAATTTTGTCGACCGACGCAAATCTGCAAAGGTACACTTTAATGGTTAATTTTTTGAGAAAGCAAGCTTTTTTCGGAGAGATTACGGTTGGAGACGCAGCGTTTCAGCAGAGTAAGCAGGGTGGATTAGAGATATCTGAAATACCTAACGGCGTCATTGTGTCTTGTTCTTGGACGAGACGCCAAATTCTCCCTTGCTGGCACCGTTTTTATAAACGAGTATTATGCCTACTGGAAAAAATTCCAGGGATCTTCCCTGAAAGAATATCTACATTCTCGAAGTTGCTTTCGCGTACTTCGGTCAAAATGCTTCGTACTACGTCCAGTTTGGGATCACTTCTTTCGAAAGAGTTTACTGGGATCAGAGTCACACCTTCTATAGTTTCATCAAACACGTGTTCTCTTGGTTACGCTTAACCACGTGTTGTTGAAAAAGATAAATGTATTTTCAGATCTTAAATTTTTTTGTTAACTCAAAGGAAATTTATACCAACTTCAAGTAACGGACCGGTTTTGTAGTGATCTTTTGAGGATTCACTTAACCAGATGTTTGTTTAGGCTGAAAAATAATGTCGTTTCGCATTTTACAATTTTTTTTCGTTCATCGTGTAAGATAACTTGTTTTCGGTCGCCATTTTGACTACCGTTCCATACAGACGGTTAACGTTTATAGTAGGCAAGAAGTCTTTTTTCTCGACAAGATACGACTACCGCGAAAAGAACAAAAATAACTGTGAATACAAATGTTAATTGCTGTCACCAGGAGATGGGGAAATTTAACACGTTTCGGCGCAATCCAATTTGCAGACATGTGACAATGAGGTTGAAGTCTGATTGAATTTTAAAAGAAGGAAATATGAGGAGACAATACTCACCGAATCATGCTAAATATTATCAGCTGCCGACAGGTTAATTCTTTAACTCGCAAGATCCAATGATTAATTCTCCCAGCTTACTATCACACTTTTCTGCGTAAATTGGACGGGAGAATTTGGTCTTATTCCCACATAAAAGCCTCTGGCTGATGAGCTTGCCTGTTCTCATAACGTGTCTACGAGATAGAGTATTGGAATTGCAAGGAGAAATGATATGTTAATCATTCATGGGGTTAAAGGATTAGAAACAAACCTAAGTTGCGTAAGTTTTCGCGGTAAAGCTGGCTCAATGTCTTTTCGATAACTGCATTTATTACACAGTTTCCGTTTGTGACCCAAAGAGAATTTACGGTACTGGCGCACCTTGATTCTATATCCGCATTTGAATTGCCCTAAATACACTTCTACTTCTTGCGGTGCTTGGCTCGAATTCGTGTTAAGTACTGGTTCTTGTTTCTCTGTCGGGCGGCACGATAAGGTAAGTGTTTTATCCGTTTACCTTGACACTTGGATAACAACGTTGGAACAGTCGTCACTTCTTTATGGGGTTGAGGGAGGAGGAGGAGGTTTTCAGACGCGTGTTCAAGGCTTTTAGTCAGAGAAAATGAGCTGAGGAGCTTGCAAACGACAAACGGCTTCTGTTCCTTTTCTTTTCATGACCTCCACCGTGTTTCGTGTCCATCATTTTGCTCGTTTCCTCTAATTGAGGGCCTAGCACAGGCCGCCAGACGAGTGGAGACAAGCGAGGGGCAAATGTTAAGCACTGAACACGGAAACAAAGACATTGACAACGGCAATATCTTTATTTTTGCGCTTCCTTCCCGTGTGCTTTCCTAGATCCGTCTGATGCAAACACTGCACCCGTGCTAACTTATTGCGAATCTACGAATTGAGGGCGCTTTGCTTTTATCAGGCTAAATTAAATGTCGATAAATTAAGTAAACGGTTTTCTCTTCACAGACCCGCGCCCGTAATTTGCTCTATTTCGCGTCTATTCAGCTCCAGAAAAAATTGACCCAGTTTCGTTTGTCAGAAGAAACCCGTTTCCCTTACAGAAAGGGCGGTCCGATCATTTAATTGTGACCATTTGTTACAATGACAACCACCGAGGAAGAAAATATGTATAATTAGAAGAATTCGTAAAGCGAACGTAGCGTTAAGAGGGTAAAGAAATCTAGAAAGAAAGAGTTACTCGGCAAGCGGATCATTGGCCATGCGCGAGTCGAACTTGAGAGAACGCGGAAAAATGTTTTTGCCTCGCGCGATACCGACGAATGCAAAATGAATACAAGAAAAAGAAACATTGATGAACTAAGAATGGTGGTGCGCGCAAGTACAGATACATTCAAGTTTGGCTAGGTGAAGAAAACTTAACTTGATACTCTTTACTAAAACACATTCTGCTTTTGAGTGGCGATAATACTACAAAAGCAAAGAGATGTTATTTAAATAAACTTATCGCCGTTAACCACCGTGTTCTAGACCATATCCCGATTTAGCCAGACTTTTATCACATAAAAACGTTGATATTTACGAAGCGTTTAGCAGAGGCTTGAAACTCATATAGGAAAAACACTTATTTCCTTCAAACAAACCACTTACAAAGATATATCAAGGTCCGTTGACTGTCTCAGACTTCGGCTCCAGTAAGTCTTCGTGTTGATGAACGGCCTAATGATTTCTATCTAGAAGAGGCGCCCTTGCAACTAGGTCAGCGAGGTTTTTGCATGAACGCGAGTCCAGTGAAAAGAGATCAACTACTGACCAGAAGTACAATTTATTCAGGATCGTTAAGGCAGCTGCAAAACATTAAAAACGAGAAACTTGTTCTCGATAACAAAAGAAGGTAGCAGAGAGAACTAGAGAGAGACGGCAAACTCGCGCGTTTGGAAATTCTAAAGTTAAAAATCTCCCCTAGTTGTTTGCGTGCGTATGAACGAGTTTACAAGTGTAAATTATACGTCTAGAAGTGGCCTTAATAACTAATGCTTCTAAAAAGTCAAATACGTGAAGTGACTCAGCAAAAAAAACGAGTGAGATTAAATCGCTTTTTTAATATCATCAATTCTTTTTGCGGTATGTTCTGATTAGTTTCATTTTTATTCTAGAAATTAAAGGATAGCAGCAGAGAGATGATGAAATATTTCTACTGGGCTCACAATGACGTTTTGACTTTTGTTGAATAAAGAAGCTATCATGAATAGCAGTCTTCATTAACGTCACGTAACAAGCCGTCTGAGTAAACACTTTAACAAATTAATGCAACGTTTTAGAGTTTTCAGTTTCTATTCTATGAGTCTCCGGACATACTTTACATTATCAAATGTCATGCGGAAAAATTTTCTAAATATTCTTCAATTGCGATGCTATCTTTGGTTGCATTTATCTCTCTCTTTTCGGGAAGAAGTTTCATTAGTCCTCATTACCGGTGTTTCATGATGAATTCTGCGTATGTGGCCAGTTAATGAAAAATCAAACTGCACCTGTCCTTCCGATTATGGACTCGGATTCAAACAGTTAATTGCTCGCTTCGAATATCTCGCTCATGATCTTATTCAAATTCAGTTCCCTTGCTAAGAAGACTACAAGCAGTAATACAGTTGCTTCTGTACTTTTCTTCGCAGATTGATCGAGAGAAGACTATATTTCACTACTTTGGACTATGCGCGCGGATTGAATCCGAAGGCGTGAAGTCCTGCCAAGATCAAAGATGACTTTCTGGTTGTACTTTCAATTATTCCCGTATTTGTTCGCAATAAAAACAAGTCAAGGTTTGGAAAGTAACCACAGACAAGTTCTGACCATTGGAGGGTTCTACGCTTCAGGAAAAATGACCACTTTTCAGAACGCGTCGGGAATCATCCAGACCGTAAATGAAGCAGTTCGAACCATAAACGAGCGCTCGCAGCTTCTTCCCGGCTACAAATTGGAGATCGAATGGAGGGATACCAAGGTCTGTAGAAAATATGTCTGTATTCATAATATCAATTCCAATTAAACTAGCTTGTAAAACGATTTCAATCTTCTCGCTAACAGAAATATATAGCAACAGATATTCTGTTATGATAGAACACGGTTTCATAATCAACAGTCGTAAATTGGCATGTAATAAGGACGAAAACGATAGTGTTTGATTATGTAGACTTCAAAGTCGATTGAGACACACTTAAATTCTATACCTTAATTAGCCGGGGTAGTTTGATGATTTTTCATAACAGCAGTCTCTCTTTATTTTTGTTGTTATAATCACACTCGACATGACCTGTTTTCATATACACATTTATTTCGTTTAATTTTCTGTTTGGTCGACTTCGTTCTTCTCTTGTTCACACCTTTGTATATGCCCGTATAAAATCTTTACTTGAGCTCTGTGAAAATTGCATGCATTATGAATACCACTGAGAGACACAGTGTTCCGTTATACTGGCAACAAACTGAAAGTGCGCTGCGACAGAACACAAACGATTATTTTCTAAAGTTTCCGCGAAGGTTGTTCGTCACGTGTTATTATCAATCTCGGATAATAGGGAGGAAAAACAGAAAGACGGCGAGATAGAGAGATAAGTAGGAGAAAATAGCAGGAAATCCGCCATTAACCATTCCAGACACCGATGCAAATTTTTCGTAAATTAAAGGTGCTCTTGATTTCCAAGGAATGTTATGGGAGTAACGACACTCGTCCAATAATCATTGTTTTTATCCTGCATGGCCTTATTTTTTCCCTTGAGGATTAATTTTTAAACTGATAACGCACAACATTCGCTAAAAGTTGACTCGTCAGAGTTTTTTCTTATTCAAGGCGAAGATGTCTTCTTCGCCCTAAATTAAATAAACAAGACGTGAACTAAATTTTAAAGATTGGGCCAATAACGCTCCTAAAGTGGATAATCGATAACGCCGGACCCACGTCTTAGCGATAAAGGAAAAATTTTAAAACAGCCTTCGAAATCGCTCTCAAAGGGGGTAAATTTTAAAACGCCGGCTTAGCGTTTTCGACTAGAAACCATTTGAAAAGCGGGCTTCTCATGAACGCTGACGTCACCGTTTTTTGCATCTTTGTGTCCTGTGATAATGCGCATGCCCAAGGATGCTGAAAATGTCTTACTAGTTTTTTTTCAGTAGGGGGGGAAACTTTTTTTTTTGTTTTGTTTTTTTTTCAGAGTGGAAACGCTTTTTCAAATTTATCTTTCAAGTTGTGAACAGAGTCTTCGTTTGCTTCTGAGCTTCGTTGCATTACAATTTTTAATTCAGCGAGTTTTTCTGTGATTCGTCCTCGACAATATTTCACTTGTCATTTGTTTTGTTCGCTTTTCAGTGTCAGCTGGGTCATGGAGTCCAGGCTCTGTTTCAAAGTGTTAACGAGTCTCCTACAAAGATAATGCTCCTTGGAGGAATGTGTAGTGCTGCTACTGGACCAATTGCCGAATGCTCTCACCTTTTAAACCTGATACAGGTGATTTAATTGTATCAAGAGGGTTCGAAAGCAGTCAATCTCAAATAACATTTTTCCATGGGCAGTAATTGAAGTTGGCTTGACGATAATAACTGAACGAGTTGATTATGGGTGATTAGGCCGCGAAATTATTAGTCATGATGTGTGCGCAAAAAAAAAAAAACGAACAAACATTCGAAAAAAGACTGGCGCGCGAAATGGTTGCGTGTGCTCAATCTATTTGCGAGGGGAGAGCACAGTGTATGACCCGAGATGAGCTCATGCGCTGCGCACCCGAGGTAAGCGCACAAGTTGAGTGTTCTAGCTATATTTGTCTCATATAACTCGACACTTTGTTCATGTTTGCTGTGTCTCTCATATGGCGCACCAGGCCACACTTTCTTATATGCGGCTGCCGACATTTACAAGCTGTAGTTCCCTGTACAAAATGGTTCAAAGATTTCTCTGTAGATGAAGACTAATGACGTTCGTCTCCTGCAGGTCGGCTATGGGGCGTCGTCTATTTATTTGTCTAACAAGCAAAAGTACCCACTTTTCTTCAGAACGGTTCCCCCAGAGAAGGGGCATAATTCTGGGCGCGTGGCTGTACTTAAGTATTTCAAATGGATGAGAATTGCTATATTAACAGAGAGAGAGCCTTATTATGAAGCTGTAAGTAAAAATAGTTTTCCTTTCGGTGGTGTGACGTACTGAGTTTGCCATGAATTAATGTGTTGTAACGTGTCATTACCATAAAAACATTTAATTTTTTTTTTTACTGTTTAAAAGGCTTTGGCAAGTCTGACAAAGCTGCTTGAGAAAAACGATATGTTAGTAGTGGCTCAAGAATTTCTTGGAGATGGAATGGAAGAAGACCGCAAATCTCTAATCAAGTTATTGAAGGTGTGTCTGTATCAAAGGGTTGGAGCGGGAACCCACCAGAGACAATTGAATGCAGGGGACCACAAAAACACAAAACCAAACTCAGTTGCTCTTTGTTCTTGGATCTCATTGAATAGAGATATCACAGGCGAGGTTTAGGAAACCCCTGGGGTATCCGTGGTCCTCCTACCTTTTTTCGTTTTAAGTTAATAACGTACACACCATATAATTCAGGTTTGCGGATCTCATTATGTAGAGATACCAGGGGCGTTGCTAGAGAAACCCTTGGGGTATCCGTGATCCCCTCGCCTTTGTGAGATTTGCTTAGGGTGTCCTTCGGGTGTCCTTCGGGTGTCCTTCGGGTGTCCTTCGGGTGTCCTTCGGGAAAAAATTCGTACGCACGCAAGTTTCACTAAAATCTTAGCAAACTATCTATCAGAAGAAAGCTTAATAAATGCAGTTTACGACAAAAATATAATTCAAGCGACCCCTCTTTTAAGAAAGTGTCAGGAGCCGGTAAAGTGCGAAACGACCGAAAGTTCTTCTATTGAATTTATCACAATCTTATTCAATCAACGAAAGGTGTCAGGCTTTTTCGATGTTCTGATTGGTTGTCTAAATATCGGCATTTAAAGTTGGAGTAAAAATATGCGAGGCGTGTTGCATTGACTCCACGGGACAAATTTTTCAAATATCAAAATTTCCCCACAAACTTTCGTTTGCCATCATTCAGAGGATGTTTAGGCAAAATTTGACGAAAATCGGTCAAATTAATATACCATAAAAAATCGTTCAAAGTGGTTGTACTCCCGCAAATATCAAATGCGAGATGTTAGCTCACAAAGGTTCGCAAACAACTCGCGCCACGCCAGGAGATTATCTCGCCTCCTAAAATCGCAAACCAATAGGACAATGGACCTCCTGGACTCAATGACGATGGATCAAGATTTCCCGGTAAAAGTAACCCACTGCAGAGATGTTTTTTTTTCTCATCTCGATCGCTCAGTGGAGCGTTGAGGAGGAAGACACAATAATGAGCAAAGTTTCAAAGGGAAAGGAAAAACCCGCGCCAAAAATGGAAAAACCGCAAAACGTGCTGAGGAGCAAGACAACGAATCGTCGTATAGCTTTCAAAATTAAAATTCAAGGCAATTGTTAATGTTTTTGTATCAAGGCTGGTGCTTGCATAAAGAAAAGGAAACCTTGTTTTTAACATCATGTATGGCAAATTTTGATTTGACGGCGATTTTTTTTGTTCGAAATCTGGACGCCAGCGTGGAGCTCCGCTAGCTTGTACCGGTCACTTTCACACAGGATTTTTTTCTTTTCTTGACAAAATGGTACTCTTTCTTTCTCCTTTGGGCCTGCTTTTTCTTTCTTTTTTTTTTTTTTTACAAGGACTTTCTTCCGCTTTTGATTTTTCTCAGGACGGCAAACAACTTCCACGAGTGAATTTTGTAAATTTCGCGATGTAACCAAAATATGGCAATAACATGAAAATCGAGCCTCAACATGAGCAGTTGCCGCGAAAATTCCCCTAGAGGATTCGCCTAGGTCCGAGATTATGACACCTTCTTGATTTCTAAACTTTCGTTTGAAATACGTTTTTCTAAGTAACTTGGGTGCTTTTCAATATTTCAGATTTTTTTTAATAGAAACGTTAAGTTGAGTGTGTTTGAATTCAGTTTTGTCATATAAAAGAAAAATCGGTAAAATTTCCGCACAGCCCCATACTACATTATGCATTCAGTTCTTGGACAGAGAAAACAGTGACAAAAACAATACATTGCCATTGGGAAAACAGATTTCTTTTACATTAGTATGGGGCCGTGCGGAAATTTTACCGAAAAATCAATTTTTTTTTATCTCTGAAGGTGGCAAGTACAAACCTAATAGTTCAGGTTTGCGAAAATATGCAAATCCGAGTAATATTCAAGGTAGAGGTTTTCTGAGTACTAGATTCTAAATTTTTTAGAATGCACTTGCCGCGTGAAAAGCAGCCCGCGGTTGCGTAAAGTAAGTAACGAAATATCTATATTTTGTGTACACACCGTATTTCATACGCAGTACACCCACCAAGAAGATCACGCTCGAGATACAAAGAATATTATCCTGTCTGATTTCACATTTTCTCTCGCTCTTTACCCAGGCGAGAGATGCTCGAATTATTGTTGGACTTTTCTCTGAAGAAAAAGCTGTCGAAGTCTTCTGTCAGGTAACTGTGGGGGAATGGGATTTTCGGTTTTGCGGTTTTGGCTATTTTTCAGGTCGGTTTTTTCGGTCTTTGTGCCAGAAAACTGCGGTTTTTAGGTT